AGTGTCTGCTTTTACCTTCAGTCTGGGTATTTGAAACATCACATTTATATGCAAAATGGTGTTGAATAACAAAATACGATGAAATCTCACTAATGGTATTACACAAACTATCTCTTCCTGATTCATATTTATTTGTAGTTATTTACACGGTGAAAAGACGGCGGTAGGCATCACAGAAAAATCGTTTGGGGTAAGATATAAATACTACAAAATTGTTAATACAATCGAAATTTATCGGGAACAAATAACATGTACCCCTTCAGGGTGTGTAGTATTTTAGAATGTGCATAAAATAGTGGTGAAAATTTTGGCTTTTCGTTAAAATTATTGAACAGTTATTTCAATTTTCAGTTTTTGCTTGTCAAAATTGTGACAGATTTTTTCTCTCTCGATTTCTCAAGATTTCGGACGAATCTCATAAAATACGAAAGCCATGAAGGGACACGTCGATTTCTCAAAAAAGCAAAAATGAATTTGAGATCTCGAATTACACAATCCGTTCTCACAGATTACTAATTCGTTCCCTCGGTTTAAAATTCGAGATCTCGAATGACATAATCCGTTCCCACTGATTATCACTTCGGCCTCTTGATTTAGACAATCCATCAATTACATGTTTTACGACTTGAAGAATCCATTTCCTTATCTCAATCATGCGTTCTATTTTGTTCATGCAACAGGCAGTTCCGTAGTATTTTTAAATTAAGTAAATGTAAATTTATTTAATAAAAATAATTACAGAGGACCCATGTTTACTTTTATCAGTGTTTTCCATGATTCTATAAATAACCAAATATCTAAGAATTTACTTGTACAAATATTAGTAGTAGTAAATGGATTGGAAAAATGTTCGTGTAATTTTCTCAGTAAGGACTGTGATATGTAATTAAATGTAGAGTGTGTACTATTCTATATTCTATTCATTAAACAAATATTGCTATATCTGAGATGGACAGATAAATAAGTGCACTCAGCTGCCAGCTGGTAGACCAGCAAATGGTGCATGAAATCAAAATGGATAACCTGTTACGAAAGCCCTGAAGGGACATGTCGATTTCTTCAAAAAGTGAAAATGAATTTGAGATCTCGAATTACACAATCCGTTCCCACAGATTACCAATTCGTTCTCTCGATTTGTAATTCGAGATCTCGAATTACACAATCCGTTCTCACAGATTACTTATTCGTTCCCTCGGTTTATAATTCGAGATCTCGAATTACATAATCCGTTCCCACAGATTACCAATTCGTTCTCTCGATTTATAATTCGAGATCTCGAATTACATAATCCGTTCCCACAGATTACCAATTCGTTCCCTCGGTTTATAATTCGAGATCTCAAATTACATAATCAGTTCCCACTGATTATCACTTCGGCCTCTTGATTTAGACAATCCATCAATTACATGTTTTACGGCTTGAAGAATCCATTCCCTTGTCTCAACTCATGCGTTCTATTTTGTTTAAGCAACCGGCCGTTCCGTAGTATTTTTAAATTAAGTAAATGTAGATTTATTTAATAAAAATAATTACAGAGGACCCATGTTTACTTTTATCTGGGTTTTCCATGATTCTAAAATAACCAAATATCTAAGAATTTACTTGTACAAATATTAGTACTCGTAAATGGATTGGAAAAATGTTCGTGTAATTTTCTCAGTAAGGACCGTGATATGTAATGAAATGTAGAGTGTGTACTATTCTATATTCTATTCATTAAACAAATATTGCCATATCTGAGATGGACAGATAAATAAGTGCACTCAGCTGCCAGCAAATGGTGCATGAAATCAAAATGGATAACCTGTAAAACAAATTATATTCCCCCCGATAACGACAAACATTCCAAGAAAATGAATTGTTTAACTCGAGAGAATGAATTACAATCCGAGAGAACGGTTTGACTTATTCGAAGGAACGAATTGATAATCTGAGAAAACGAATTGGCAATTCGTAAGAACAGATTGTCAATCCGAGAGAACAGATTGTATAATTCGAGATCCCGATTTACTTTTATATTTTTTGAGAATCTTCATGTCCCTTTATGGCTTTCGTAACCTGTAAAACAAATCATATTCCTCCCAATAACGACAAACATTCCAAGAAAATGAATTTTTTAACTCGAGAGAATGAATTACAATCCGAGATAACGAATTGTGTAATTTGAGGGAACGAATTGATAATCTGAGAGAACGAATAATTAAACCGTGGGAACGAATTGTTTAAACCGAGAGAACAAATTACAATCCGAGATAACGGATTGTGTAATTTGAGGGAACGAATTGATAATCTGAGAGATCGAAAAATTAAACCGTGGGAACGAATTGTTTAAACCGAGAGAACGAATTACAATCCGAGAGAACGGATTGTGTAATTTGAGGGAACGAATTGATAATCTGTGAGAACGAATCAGTAATTCGTTATCACAGATTGTCAATCCAAGAGAACGGATTATATAAATCGAGATCTCGGTTTACTTTTACACTTTTTTGAAAATCCTCATGTCCCTTCATGGCTTTCGTACATAAACAGTATGTGTCTGGAGTATGACTTTTTAGTATATGTTTTCTGTTAGAGTATACATATAGACGGGGTTCGTGAAATTTTATCCCAAGTTGATTTTTACCCTATTATTATAAGATTGCAATTTATCAATAAATTTTTTTTCTATACTGGCACTTCCTAAACTACGGTGGCTGCTATAGGACATGGTATGAGAATTTTTTTTTATTAATTCGTGGCCACGAAATAAAAATTCGTGGGAACGAAATAAAAATCGTGGCCACAAAATAAAAATTCGTGGCCACGAAATAAAATTCGTGGGAACGAATTTTTATTTCGTGGCCACGAATTTTTATTTCACAATTATATGTACATATAGTGTTAAAATGATAATTTGCTATGGACCTAGTGAGAGTCTGTCCCATGACACACAGACACAGTTAGATTATTGTAACTGGCCCGCACTGATAAACATCATTATAAATACCCATATATTTAATTTGCGTATATATTAGAAGCAGCTGAGAATTGGTACATGCATCATGAACATAGTCTAGATGTAAAAATAATAATAATAATAAACTCTCTCTTTTGCTCTGTGCCCAAAATTAAAACAAGACATTCAAGCCGATTCAATTGACTGTTCTGGAGTTTAAGGCAGTTCAATGATACTGCATCCAAAATGACATCCTAACCCAATGATAAAACAAAATGAAAGTGTTCTCTTCAGCTTGTCATCATGCTACATGACACAGCATGAAGTCACGATTTTTTAGATGATATGATACACAGGGACAATTTTATATTAGCCAAGTTATGTATTTTTCTTAACTATAATAACTCTGGCAAGTTTTGTTCCTGATATTAGTCAAGGCAACCCGAACATTAATGACTTTAAGGGCTTATTTGCTGTTTTCTCACATTTTCTATTGAATCCTGTCACATAGTTGTAATGAAATAAAGACACAAAATCTTAGCATGTTAGGAGTATAACTTGTTCTACGTAACAGCATCGAATCTCATTGCTCATTACACATATATCCCGTTGGCTCATTCCAATTAAATGATAATTATATATAAGTTCGTTCATCTTGAATGACATAAAACAGAAGCTAAAAATGGCATTATGTAGCACAAATTTATTTCGTGGCCACGAATTTTATTTCGTGGCCACGAAATTTATTTCGATCCCACGAATTTTGTTTCGTGGCCACGAATTTTTATTTCGTTCCCACGAATTTTATTTCGTGACCACGAATTTTATTTCGTGACCACGAATTTTATTTCGTGGCCACGAATTTTATTTCGTAGCCACGAATTTTTATTTCGTGGCCACGAATTAATAAAAAAAATTCTCATACCATGTCCTATACCAGCCACCGTACTAAACAAAGGTTTGTTGTCTTGGTTTTTTTCTGTCCGTCCGTCTGTCACAATATACATGTATATCTAATCTTCAAGTTCAAACTTCTCTACTATTTTAACCAGTAGACAGTGATTTCATATATGTTTTGAACTCATTGGTTTATGGCACTTTGATGCATGATTGGTGGTTTCTTTCTGATTGGTGGTTTCTTTCAGGTGTGCACAATACCGTTTCGAAGTTTTCAATTCCATGCTGGAGGCCACAGGAGGAGGGGTCGTTTTTCTAGAACTCATCTTACATTTTACAGAGTAGTAAAATCATTCTTAAAATTCAACCGGTTGTAACTTGAAGATGTGCAATAAGGTTTCGAAATTGTCATTTAATTTTGTAGCCTATTGGCAGAACCATATTACAATTTACGCTGTAGCCATATCATCTTTTGGAATATGATTAGTGGTAAGCTGTAGATATGTAAATAGGCTTCAGAATTTTTATTTTCATAACAGGAGCTAAATGGGGGTCGAAAAAAATACATAAACTATTATCCAAGATTTCCTCTATCATTTAACGCAGTGACAAAATCATCTGGAATATTATAATTAAGGGTGGTGTTCTGTACATGTGCAAAATAAGCTTTTGGAATTTTCATACATGAGATCGATCGGGGCCGATAATGTAGAGCGACGTTTTTCTACAAAATAAAGGTTCCAATAACATCTCTTACTTATACAGAGTAGTCAAATCATCCTTTGGAATCTGCTTGGTGGTTTTCCGTAGATGTGCAAGAAAGTTTTGGAATTTTTCGTTTTCACCCAGGAGACTAATTGAGGGTAAAAACCAACAGTTTCTACGAAAACCGTTTCCTTAGAATCCCTCTCTTACTTCAAGCAGTAGCTAAACCATCTCTTTGAAGTTTATTATTGGTGACAATATAGCTGTGCTTTAAGGTTTCGGAATTTTTATTTTCATCCTGGGTATTAATTAGAGGTAAAAATTTTGTTTCTCTACCATATTCATGTTGTATGGAAAAAGGTTTGTGGCTTCTTCAGTGGTTACCAAGATATGAAGGAGTGTTCATTTAGAGGCACATACACACAAATATTATTATATCATATTATATTATACTTTGTAGCTATTAGCAGTGAAGACAGAAGAATATTCAGGGATGGCTATGATTTTATATCTTGCCTTGATGTCCCATTTCTTAGGGATAGCTGTGAGCGAGGGCATCAATTCCTTGACAGGTTTAAAATTTTCAAAGGAACTTAAAATAATGGAAGAAAGGGGAATATGTGCCCCCAGTCTACAGGTAAATAAAACCTTAGCATTAAGAATATAACTCTGTAGGTGCTGTCTCACAAGGGAATTGAATGATTTATTACCAATTTAATATAACCTTAATTAAACAACATAGCATTTTCTCTTATTTCATACTTTTATAACAGGACTATTGGTTTTTATATTTCACTGTTTTTTATGTGCAGAATTATTACGACACCCTACTTTACGATAAGCCAACAGATACTGCTGCAGATATAGCTCAAAAGGTAAGCAAGAGGAATATTTTTTTTTTTTACATTTCACACACAAACTTTCTTATGTGCGTACAGAAAATCTCTTTGACAATGCATTCCATAAATATATGTTAGCGCATCTTTTATCAGCCAAGTGTGTGTTACTAATTTTAAAGAAATATTAGATAAAATCGTGAACTGAATTTTTATCACTGCTTGCAGAATATTTCCAATAATATATTTTAAATTTCTACTGACTGTTAACTACAGTCTCAAAGTAGGAAGAAATACTTTCTTCAAAACCCCGCAGTTAATCAAGGAGCAGAAGTAGATAACTATATACCCCCTACCCACCCATCTTTTTTTTAAACTTGAAAAAAAAAAAACGGTTTCATTAATTGACGTTTTCTTTTATACATGTTAGCAACTTTATTTTTTTTTTTTTTTTATATCTGTTGAAAATAAATACTGTATTTTTGGTGGTCTGTTTGCATTTCCATCAAGGATTTAAAAAAAAGCGAGTATGTACATTTTTTTGCATCTTCGCTAGCAAATGCAATGGTTTGTGATCCGCTCTGCTTCGCGGAAACTCTTGGCTAGGGAACAACTTGCAATCAAGTTGTTTGACGTCACCTGACGTCGTGGAAATATCAAGCGGTGCTCCGTTGATCCTATACCCGCAAAGTAAAAATCGTTGAATATTTTGATATTTTTATTAAATTCATTTTTTTGAATACTTATCATTAAATGTTGGTGAGTTAATAAAACATACATCATTCCTCAAAGAACACTGTAATTTTTCCGTAAATCCCGTGTCAGCGAACTTGTATATTTCACTTCGGGTTCGTTGCCATGACGCTCTCTGTAGCGAATTTACACATTTTACAGATAAATTCTTTTAGCAAAACATACTAATGGTCTTTCGATACATAAATATATATTCTATCAATTGCTTCAACAATATTCCCATGCCCTGCACATCAAATCTTTTATATTTTATGTTCATGTGCAAGTTAAAACATTTGCCAAAACGATACCATATGACAATCTAGAAATTTCCATCAAGACTAAGATTGGGGACTGACAAAACGATTGGCACATTATGTTTTTTAATCAGTTTATCACAAATTATTTCTTTTATGTCACTTCCATATCACTAGAATCAAGTTTTGATTGAATAATTCACTAATGACGTTTTTATCAAATAATTATACGATTCATTAAAATTACCAAAAAAATTGATTCACCAACCATAACCATAAACGTACTCTTTTATGCTTTGTTACGACTGTATATTGAAAATGAAAGTAAACTTTTGAATAAACTTACAATAATTACTGTGCAAGAGAAATCTAAATATAGCTTAGGCCATCTCTAAAACACTATTTATTTGCCTTCTCTAGACCGACTGACTAAAAATGCCCCAACTCAAAACTTTTTTTAACCCCAAGAAATCTTTTTTTTTTCCCCTCTCATCCTATTAATAACCTTTCAAGCAAAATATTCGGAAGTGTTTTTGAATAGTAATAAAAAAAAATCTCCCCCACCTACCGACCCGGTAATTTTATCCTGAGAGATTAATTTTATTTTAATTTTATTCGGAGAGGGCAAGCAAACATATTTTTAAAGATGGCCTTAAGGACATCATCTTACATCTAAGGATACTAGCGTAGGAAGTATGAACTCTGGTGCAGGCGTTTCGGAGTTAAAATTGCAAAATTTATTAATTTATAAGTAGAGAAATTTACAATTTAATTTCATTTACACATTTTTTGAAACCCCGGTATTCTTTGGATATTTCTCAGCATTCGTACTTTAATATTCGTCAATCATATTATCTGAAATTCGAACAGCCGTCTTATCTTATTTAATTTTTTATTTCATTAACTGCATTTAATTCAAGTAATTATTGATCTCCTTTTTTCCAACAGATGACAAGCAATCTAGAAAATATATTCAAAACCTTAACAGACCAACTTAAGTATCTAAAACAGGTGATTGCACAAGAATATGATAATTTTGCTCCATCTGATACCGGAGTTTTTCCACAGTGCTGCACAATACACGGAACTTACAATCCAAAGTTCAGAACCAAGGTGAGCTAATTGTCTTTTTTGTGTTTTGAAATGGAAATCATACTTCAAGATTAGTTGAACACTATATATTTCAAGACTGCATTCATTTTTTTAAAAAGGAGGCAAATTTGTCTCCATTCTAATTTTGATGCTCTAGTGGATTTTCTTCATTTTATTACGCAAGGCAAATGAGAAAATCTCTAGTTGAACTAAAATTCATTATGTACTTTGAATGTATCCATAAATCCAATACATTAGTATGTATAAAACATCAAGTGACGCTTGAATTGTTGTCATTTATATGCATATTTACACATGCCATGATTTTGGGTGCAAATACCATTACTTTGCATTTTTTTTACATCATTATTCAGATTTCGGAAGACGACGCCTGTATATCAAAATCCCCTTCTTCAAAACATTTTCCGAACCAACGAATTAAAACCACTATGGAAGAGAATTATAGACAGAATCCTAATATGCTTTGGCAGTACTTCGGCGGAAGTGACGGGACTTTCCTTATCTACCCATCACATGCTGAGAGTCAGAACTGTCAGTCATATGATCCAAGATTTAAGTGAGTCTTAGCAGACTTCTTATCTTAATATTATAAGTATATTTGCATTAGTAATTGATACTTGTATCATTGAAAACCTATATTTTATTGAAAGCATTATCTTTTTTTCAAGTATCTTTGAGTATTTTTTTAAAATTAATAAATCATTTCACCCTCATGAGGAAATCATAATCAATGGGTGGACCATTTTCTGTATACATGTACATGTACGTAATTGATAAAACATCAGCAAACTCAGCCGTAAAAAAGCTCGTGCAGATAATTTACACCAATAAGCGTAAATCAATATTTTTTGCAGACGATAAATATACAAATTGGTATCATCAGACAGTCAATGCTGTCTTCGGATATCAACATCTACAATTTACATTAGGTATTCAAAACAAATAAAAAACCAATGTTATTTGGTATTATATTTACTGGCTTTCCACCAGGGCTCGGTAAGCAGTAAAACATAATTATATGTAACAAGAAAAAAAGTCGCTTCTACACCGAATAAGTATTACTCTTTGGATTCATCAAAGCCACATTATGATTTATAATTTTAAAACGATAAGGATTATATCTTGAAGCTTAAATTTAAACCACCTAAAGTTGAATCTAAGCTAACTCTCTTTCCTTCAAAACAATAATAAGTCAGTAAAGGATGAACATTACTGAAGCAATCGTTCATAAAGCATTCAAATTGACTAACATTAGCCCCTTTTTAATAGTCAGCGAGCTGCATTTAATTTTTTCCAACAGAAATAGTTGTAAAGTTATTGCATAAACAATAGGGCCGTATTTTGGCTAACGTGTTTCATACTAATTGTTAGACCTTTATTTTATGCTAAATTTGAATACGGAATGTTCCATCTACCTGAACAATACATAGGGCTCATGGCGGGTGTGACCGGTCAACGTGGGACGCCTAACAACCTAGGCAAATGATCCAACCTCCGGAATTTAAGGGGGTTCGTGTTTTATACCCTGTTCACAAATTTGTATTTTTTTGCAGATTTTTTTTTAGATCAATCACTGTTCGTTATCTTTACCTTTTTCATAAGTCCTATAGTATAAATGTTGTGTGAATATATTGTTCTCTACTTAGCTTGAAACATAAATTAAAATCAAACATTTCTTTTCAGACAGTATTACGTTACCTCGGTGACAAAGAAGCCGAAAGATTTGGTTATCGCAGTTGACGTCTCGGAAGTTACAGCAAGACGTAGTAACTACAATACTAATACACTCTTACATGTGGCACGCGAGGCTGTGCAGTATGTTATCGATACCTTGAGTCCAAATGATAGGGTAAGGTTATCCCTATGACTATTTAACTTTAAAATCATAAAACAATTAGCTGTAATTTTATGTAACAATTTGGGAAACCCAAACTATCGTACGACACTTTCGATCTACCAGTTTAAGCTATGAACAGATGTATCATGATATTGTCCAATCCATAACTATTACTCAAATATTACAATGTAAAAGGTGAAGATAGCGAACATTGCTCATTCTCATAAATCCAGTAAACAAAACGGATCGGGAACAAGGCAAAAACACGGGCCTCTGGAAACACTAGAGGTGGGATCAGGTGCCTAGGAGGAATAAGCATCCTCTGCCAATCAGTCACATCCGCCGTGAGCCTTATGTATATATCGGTTAGATGGAGTACTCCTTACTCAAATTTGGTGTAAAAGTAATGACCTATCAAATGGTATCAAACATGTTAGACAAAGCAGGACCCAACGATAGGTTGTATTTACAAACATGGTCATTATAACGACCGTAGAATTTGCAAAAAACTTACTTTAAACGGGGTTGTTGAAATCATTGTAACATCAAAACATTTGTCAGTAGCTTGCCTCAATTTTAAAATTGATCGTATTCAAAGTATGCTCCATCTGATGATGGAAAAGCTGAAGTCATCCCGATTGCCATACAGTTATTTATTGGCCATTGCCGTCTATAGTCAGCTAAACATCTAAGAATAAAACAAATGTGGCACACTCTGTAGCGTCTTTTATGTCGTGTTCACTGTGTTATATCGAGTCGACATACAAATTAAAGTAACTATTATTAATTGATAAATATCATCGATATGTCTAGAAGTTGAGTTGAAAGCTACAGCAAGAGTTTTCTTCTTCTCATGAAGATGTTTTTGAATATATTCTGCTTCAAAGGAATCTAAGAACAGGTCGGCTAATAAGCTTCCATCGTAATTCGAACAGATTGTTAGAAGATCTGGTCTCCAAAGGCTACATAGATATTGTCAATGTGGAACTCAAACATCTTTTAAATATCAATTACAGAGTACTTGTACTTGGAATCAGAATGATTTTTAACAAAGTAATTTTGTAGATAACCAATCACAAGATATGAAAATTTAAGAGCTCCATTTTTATTGAGTAACCAGAGCTCCATTTTTATTGAGGAAACAGTTGTCTATAATATCAAAAAGTCTGCTCTTTAATTTGTAGTTAGGGATGGTTGTTCAAAGCGTAGAAAAGTCATATGTTTTGAGGAAATTAATATTTGAAAAGTTTTGAGATTTGAAATGTTCTTAACATTCCCTAGAAGTTTCTCAGAATCCACATTTAATTTTCACCACTTCTTGAATATGTTGTACAACAATACGTCTCAAGTTTCTCCTTCACATCAGTTAATATTCTGGTGAGGAGTACATGTAAGGATAGGGGCTTGGTTGAACGCAAGAGGCTTTATAATTTACAGTCTTATTCTATTATAGTAATATTTTTGTAAAAAAACTATATATAAAGATATTAAATATTAATACACGAGTACATACTACTATCTAAAGCTAGTCCTCACTTACAGTCATGTTTTTTCCCGAAAGCGGACAGCTACTTATTCAAAACGAGGGGCGTAACATTTTGAGTTCATTAAAAATAAGTTATATTTGTGATGATCTTTCTAAAAGTTGTCTACATTTCAAACTTCATTTGGGTCAACAACAAAAAAAGTAGGAGAAGCGCAATAAAAGTGTGTTTGCAAATAAATGAGTAGAGAGACGGACAAACGATGGACATTTTATCAAGGTAGAACCTTTATACATCAAAAGATATGATTTAAGGAATGCTATTTTAAAAACATTTTCAGATCGGGTTGGTAGCATTTAATGATCAAGCCAGTACGCCACCCTCGTGCAATGGCACCCAGTTAGCTAGGGTAACGACTACATACAAAGGTGTATTAAAGAGCTTCATTAATACATGGAACCCAAGTAAGCAATCACACTACGACGAGGGAATCCAAGCAGCCTTCTCATTCTTTGACAGAAGTATAGTGGAAACAATTGGAGATGAAAGAGGTATTAAATTTTTCTCCTCACTTTCGCGAAGAATATAGAAGAATATAGTCTATTCATATGGACAGAAAAAAAATATATAATGATACTGAAATTTTGTGTTTTCCACAATTTCCCATGCATAAACATTGGCAATACCCTAATTAAATGTACGAAGAAAAAATAGAAGGCCAGCTGAAAATTTTGATTTTTTCCCCATTGTTTTCATTGTGTTATAGTTACAAAACTTATCTTAAAAAAATTAATTGTTTAAGTACATAAAATTTTGATTATATCAGTAACGCTATTGAAATGAACATGATGCCAAAACGCTTTTAATGATGATCATATTACGAATGCTTCCGCTTTAAATTATGTAAAATGTCCATGTCTGGTTTGTTTAAATTGTGATATTAACTAATTCTCTTTAATCACACACTTTCATTTGACATAAAATAGTAATTCTTCAATATCATTCATTTTCAGAGTCTGTTATTTTGTTTTTGGCGGCTGGTGATAATGCCGGTGACGACCCTGTAGATGTCATCAAAACTGAAAACGAGGCTCGGAATAACTCGGTCATCATTCTTACGTATTCGTTTGGAAAAGGTTAATATTTAAATAATACTATTTGTGAAATACAAAGTTCCTATGTAATAATACATAAGAAAAATGTTTCATTGTTAATATGATAGTTAAATGTCTGATTGAGGAGAAATAGCATAGGTAGTATACAAGTGTAAAGACTTAATGTGTATGTCACTTTTTGTATAATTTGATGGATGCTAGTACCTACACTGAGTATGTTGACTGTATATTGTTTTAAGTCCCTTGCAAGAATTTTTCTCTCATATGAGAGATTACCACATACCGATGAAGGGCTTTAAATTTGAACCTTTTCTCAGCACTCAGAGCCAGTGAACAGTGAGGGTTATTTATACGTTTGTCAAGCCATATCCATAAGATCCGTGAGTTCACTTCTACTTGACACTTGACGAAGGAAAAGTCACTACCTTTGATAAACTTTTAGGTTTCACCTGTTGCAGGGAACGAGCATCGATCCAGACATCCCGAAGAGAGCGTCATACCACTATACGAGGAACCCTAATGGCCACCTGAGTCACCTAGCCTTTCTGACAAATACTGAAATCCCTTTTAATATCCATCTACATTTTTAAATTCCATGATTTCAAAAATAACACTAATAAAGGACTAAAGTCACGTTGCAAATTGTAGTTTTGCAGAGGTTAAAATATTTCTGTGTGAAACTTAGAATCCCCACCCAAGACCAGGGACCACGGAATAGAAAAATATACATGTTATTATGTCTAAATGTGACCATCCTTTTGGTGAGAAGATATTTAAACATTTGTTTTCATACATATTCCTAAGCGCAACCTTGATCTCTTTCGCGACCCTACCCTAGCCCCCAGGGATTATGAATTGAATATTAAACTTGAATCTACATCTCATGGGGATACATGCATTTCAGTCTGAATAAATGTAAGTGTTTTGTTCTTGATCAGGGTTTACCTACGTCTTCAGATGTGATTTTAAACTCTAATTGTGATCCAGGAAACCCGAGGGGGCATGATTTACTAACTTGAACCTTCACTGCATAGGGATATTTAAAAAAAATAGTATGAGTAATTGGTGTCCGTCTATTCTGGAGACATCGAATGATAAATACTTTCCTTATATACTACTACACATAATGCAAGACATTGGCTCCCACTTTCTACTCCAATCTAGCCCAAGGGCCATGATTCAACAAACATAATCAACATCCAGTCAGGACCCCTTTACTTATTTTTACATTTTTACGATTTTAGATTTGAGTAACCACTCGAAAGATGTTCTTAAAGATATGAGTAAACAAGTCAGGAATGATCGTTCGTTTGGACCAATCAAGGTAACGGGGAATTTGTTTATGGCATTCGATTTTGAGAAGTATATGACTGTATTCGTTCAATGTTCAGATTAAGCAATTAACAAATATTTCATCAATTGTAAACAAAAAAGCAAATGGAAAAATTCAGAGTTGCATAGGAACACAGATTATGTACATAATTCATTTGGTATTAACCTTATAAAAATAAAAATGAAGCTGAATAAAGGAAAACAGTGTTGCGTTCTTGCTGAATATTCTTCTTTATGCATCTTTGCCTGCAAGATTCGCAGTTATTATTGTATCTTTCAATTACTTTTTCAGGAGGGAACTTTTAATGAAGTGCGTAATGATTCTTTACTTCGAACTGTTATGGCGTTTTATTATCTAGACCTCTTCAGCACTAATTTGGATGACGATCCTGTATTTTCCGTTCCGTACGTAGATAACCGATCCAGTGAAAAAGGTATGGAAGATTTCAAAATTATAAAAGGAATTCTAATCCACTGGGGAAAATAGCAGTTACATGAATGTGAATCTTGTCCAAATCTTGTCCAAAATGTAACAGACGAAAGTCAGAAAATAAATAAAAGAATAATAATTTTACAAACTGACACTACAGACATTTTCCCCAATGCTAAAGCATCTTAAAGACCAAGATAATGCTTTTATACATCATTTTATTTACTTTTGAAAGCGAAAGCCTTAATTACATCTCTCTGTCTTCCTGTGGATAAGACCGGATCATTAAAAGGAGTCACGTGTACAGATATTCTGTTGGACGAATTGCTGTCTGATATCACGAATTTCAAGGAAGGAGAACTGTCATATGCATTCATGATAGATGGACAAGGCCGTGTTATGGTCCACTACTTGCAGCCGACACCTAATGCCTTCACTACTGATCCAGATCCTATAGATATTCATAAGCTGGAACCAAGTGTCGATGCAAAACCAATGATAGAGTCAATGAAAAGGTATTAATAAATCAAGATAAAGAATGTACTCCTGAGAATTTAACTTTCACATTTGAAAAATCTATCAATTGTCGAAGTATTTTTTTTTCCACAAAACTAAACAATTTTACTTAACATTAGTTCAACATTTACTGCAAACAATGTTACATAAGATATATATATATATATCGATCAACGGAATCTGTCTCCTAGATTTACTCAATAAAACATACGTAAACATTTACTTTGCTGGTTTTTTTTAGAGTTCGAAAAAACTCAGTATATTTTAATGTCTAAGCTGGGGACACGGACAAGTTATGCAGTCAGTCCCCATTACTTAGCAATGAAGCTGGCCAGTCGTCACCAGTGTTCAAGGTGTCATTTTTTAGTCAAAATGAAGATGGCGGTTTTCATAGTGCTCATGTACATGTACAAACATCCTCCTTTTATTTTATTTTTTACAAAATGAAAGCGAAACTTTTTTCTACAATAATAAAGAAATGTTTGAGTTCTTCAGCGGATACATATACAAAATTTAAAATCACAAAATTTTACCAAAATCAATAACATAAAAACTTACCACTTTTCAACTTTATATACAACCATTCCTCATGATAAATTAAAGTCCGGGCTTTTCGACATCATTGACAGCTGTTTTTTTTTTTTTAATAAAAATGGAACTCGTAAATTTACGTATCTTGTCATTAGTCATTTGCAAAATTATTTTGTTAAAAAACATTCTGATTGTACACACATGTACTCTGAAGTTGATATTAAAAAGATGATTCAGTTTCTGATTGACTATATCTACATGTGTATGTGGTTTTTTGGAGACCAGGTCTTCCAACAATCTATTGATATTCCCATGGGTACCAATTTCGCCCCATTATTAACAGACCTATTTTTAGTCCCCTACCGGTGAAACTGGAGGGGACTATAGGTTTCCTCTGAGTCTGTCCGTCCGTCTGTCTGTCAGTCCCACTTGGTTTTCCGCACTTTTTCCCTAAACGCTTGAAGATATTGAGCTGATTTTTGGTATGTGAGTGTATCTTGATGAGTTACAGATCAAGTCTGCATTTCGTTCCGCTTCATTGATTTTTGACGGAATTATGGCCTTTTCAATTTTTAGGGGTTTTCCGCAATTTTCTTCTAAACGCTTTCAGATATTGAGCTGATTTTTGGTATGTGACTTTACCTTAATTAGTTAAAGATCAAGTTTGCATTTCGTTCCGATTCATTGATTTTTGACAGAATTATGGCATTTTCAATTCTTAACGGGAACCAGATTACACTTGCCGGTAGGGGACTAGTATTGCTAATGCAATACTCTCAGAATGCTTGTTGTATTCATATAAAGCAGTATTTGTTCAAAATCTTGTACGTGAAAAGAAGAAAACATTTGTTGTTTCCTTCAACTAGACATTAAGATATATCGACGACGTATTGTCAATTAACAATGGCGATTTTCACTTTTATGTCGATATGATATATCCCGGTGAGCTTGAAATAAAAGATACCACAGAGTCTGATACATCTGTTTTATATTTGGATATTCTTCTAGACAAAGACGTTAATGGTAATCTAACAACAAAGCTTTATGATAAACGCGATGACTTTAACTTTTCAATCTTCAACTTCCCTTACTTATGCAGCAATATACCCTTGTCATCTGCATACGGGGTTTATATCTCTCAGTTGATTCGATGCGCAAGAGCATGCTCTACGTATGACCAATTTCTAAAACGAGGTAGGTTATTGACAAACATGTTGATGAAACAAGAATATCAACAGTCTCGTTTAAAGTCATCATTTCGTAAGTTCTATGGTCGATACAATGACCTTGTCAGCAAATACAATCTATCATTAAGTCAAATGCGGACTGACATTTTTTCATACTAATTGTTAGGCCGTTGTTTACACACTGAATTGTCGACGGATATTTCCGTTATTTCCCGATCATGACAAGGAGCACACGGCGGATGTGACCAGTCGGCAGGGGATGATCACTCCTCCATGGCACCTGATCCCACCTCTGCTATTTTAGAGGTCTGTGTTTGCTCTGCTCCAAAATTTGTATTGTTTAATGGACTTTTGAGCTTGAATACTGTTCTTTATCTCCATACATTTCATTTACCTTTATCAAAGGATCATTTGTGTCAAATGTGACTCAGTCAAAAATGTGAAAAGGTAATTGACGGCAGACATATTGACAAGGATATACTTTCATCAGAAAAAGCGAACTTGACCCTTAGCTTATGTGAACTTGAAAAGGAGAAGTATCATCACACTGTTTGGAAACATAAAAAAAACCTGCTGTCTATCTGTTAAATTATACTTTGGCTAAGTTTAAATCATTTAATCACTCGATATAAACTATATTTTAGCTGCTTTTTTTCACTTATAGTCCCTTGTTGGAAGTTTAAGTAACCAGATTGCCTGACAAAATTTATTTTCAGTTACATCTTTCTTGGAACCTTTCAAGACATTTCTATTTTTCAGGGGTGAGAGTGGGAGTGCAACCTTTAGCTATTCAAGGACAATATCTAGAGGTGAATTGGAGTACGACGGAATCGAGACGCGGGTAGTAGAAGCAGAATACAGCTGGAGAAAAGTAAGATTATGTTAGTGCAAATGTCGAAAAATGTAGAGGTGTATTTACTTTATTATATAATGCATAGATAACCAAAAACCGTACCCACTTGTCAAAAGGTACCATATAAACTCATTTTTGTTAAGGATTGTAAAGGTACAAGCTTTGATGTGCGGTAATGACGCAAAAATAGCATCCATAACGTTCACCTAATGTAGACCCTATTACGATATATCTAATGATATGTGTTTATATGATATGCTACATTTTATTTCTGTAATTTTATCAGACCATCTAATTTTCTTGAAATATTTCCTGTTCTAAATCAATAAATATATAATGTAGTATGTTCGATGAATTGATTTAAAGGTTCCTGGTACAAATTTTTCCTTGTGTGTTGTACTTGGAAAGAATGATCAACAATCTCGCCTGCGGCCAGGCCAAGAAGAGTTATTAACCAATGGAGTCTTCTACTATCATAGACTGGAACAGAACCGTCAAAATACACAGAAATGTAGACAGTATGACAGATATGCCACTAAAGGTAATATATATATATATATATATATATATATATATATATATATATATATATATATATATATATATATATATATATATATAAAGCACTAAAAATGACCAACGACACGAACAATAATAATTGTCAAATTTTCGGGACAACCTGTCCCTTCCTCAGGACAAAGAAAAAAGTTAAGAAGTCATAAAAACAAAGGAAATAGAGAAGCAAAAACAACTAGCAGAACTACTAAACTACCAAACACTAAATATTTACAAGGTTACATGTTTAATTTGGAGTTTATAAACAGTTGTGAACAAAGAAATCCGGAGCGCTATGAATTGCGTCCGGTCTATCGGGTGTACTCGGTGAAGTGTGATTTACATAATTGAACGAATTAATTATCGCTAATTAATTACGGCCAACAGTAAATCGTACATTGTCTTATTCTCTCAAAATGGCGTAACTCTACATGATAAAAAGAAATTAAAGAAAGATAATATGGAAGGACAATTTTGAAATATGAATTTGGATATATTATAAATTTGGAAATCGGAAAAAAGAAATAAACAAAAATGTGAGCTGTAAATATTTGGGTAGGTTGTTCCAGGATTATTAATACGAATTAACGGTGAAGTTTACGCTATATAGAGAGAATGAACTTGTTTGTTACAATTCGGGATTGGGTCTAGTTCACGTTCATCCTGGTGAAGTCATTAAGTTTGTTAATACCATTAGGGCGGAATGACTTCAGCCTGTGCATCCAGAACTTTTCCTTGCCTTTTCTCTGCGCGTCTGTCCATCTTGGATTATGGTCAATAACCACTACTGTCATGTCCTCCCATTTGTGACCTTCAAGGTTGAAATGTTCCCCAACGGGTTCATTGAGTTTTTTGGTCCTAATGGTAGAACGGTGATTATTGACTCTCCTGCGGAGATCTCCTGTTTCACCAACATACTGTTTGGAGCAAACTTTGCAGCTGATGAGATAAATGCAGTTGTCTGTTTGACAGGACAAATTCCCTAGTATTTTGTAGCTGCGGCCTGTAACGGGGCTGTTAAAACTGTCTGTGTCAGAGCTGTACTTACAGAGAAGACATCTTCTGTCAGAGCAAGTTTTAAAGCCCCCGTTAGGTAATGGATTGTCCAATCTGGTTCTTACTACCATGTCCTTCAGGTTCCTCGGGCGCCTGTATGCAGCCAATGGGGGCTCCTTAAAGACCTCTGCCATTCGTTTATTTGAGTGGAGAATTGGCAGATTCTTTTGAAGGATACCGCTGAGGTTCTTAAGGACGGGATGGTATGTGGTTACCAGAGGGACCCTGCCGCTATTGTCTTTTTCCTTGTAGCGTAATAGGTTTTGCCTGTCATGTCCCGCCATCTCATCAATAGCAGTTTGTACGGTGCGGGCATTGTAGCCTCTCTTGCATAAGTGGGACTTAACCAGATTGGACAATCCATTACCTAACGGGGGCTTTAAAACTTGCTCTGACAGAAGATGTCTTCTCTGTAAGTACAGCTCTGACACAGACAGTTTTAACAGCCCCGTTACAGGCCGCAGCTACAAAATACTAGGGAATTTGTCCTGTCAAACAGACAACTGCATTTATCTCATCAGCTGCAAAGTTTGCTCCAAACAGTATGTTGGTGAAACAGGAGATCTCCGCAGGAGAGTCAATAATCACCGTTCTACCATTAGGACCAAAAAACTCAATGAACCCGTTGGGGAACATTTCAACCTTGAAGGTCACAAATGGGAGGACATGACAGTAGTGGTTATTGACCATAATCCAAGATGGACAGACGCGCAGAGAAAAGGCAAGGAAAAGTTCTGGATGCACAGGCTGAAGTCATTCCGCCCTAATGGTATTAACAAACTTAATGACTTCACCAGGATGAACGTGAACTAGACCCAATCCCGAATTGTAACAAACAAGTTCATTCTCTCTATATAGCGTAAACTTCACCGTTAATTCGTATTAATAATCCTGGAACAACCTACCCAAATATTTACAGCTCACATTTTTGTTTATTTCTTTTTTCCGATTTCCAAATTTATAATATATCCAAATTCATATTTCAAAATTGTCCTTCCATATTATCTTTCTTTAATTTCTTTTTATCATGTAGAGTTACGCCATTTTGAGAGAATAAGACAATGTACGATTTACTGTTGGCCGTAATTAATTAGCGATAATTAATTCGTTCAATTATGTAAATCACACTTCACCGAGTACACCCGATAGACCGGACGCAATTCATAGCGCTCCGGATTTCTTTGTTCACAACTGTTTATAAACTCCAAATTAAACATGTAACCTTGTAAATATTTAGTGTTTGGTAGTTTAGTAGTTCTGCTAGTTGTTTTTGCTTCTCTATTTCCTTTGTTTTTATGACTTCTTAACTTTTTTCTTTGTCCTGAGGAAGGGACAGGTTGTCCCGAAAATTTGACAATTATTATTGTTCGTGTCGTTGGTCATTTTTAGTGCTTTATATAAATTTCCATCCGTGACCTTGTATCTACTTAGTAGATCCGACACTTCGGATATACAGTGTTGTTGGTTTTTAGTGCTTTTTATATATATATATATATATATATATATATATATATATATATATATATATATATATATATATATATATATATATATATATATATATTGGATGAAGTTAAAATATATATTACTCACATTGTAAAGAAGGTGAGATAAAAAAAAGTTATATCTATTGATTATTAGCGGTAAATGTAACAAACATTTTTGATGAAATAATTGCATTTTGGAGCCAAATACGTAAAAGGATCAAAGCTATGCATGAGGAGGGTAATCCTTAACTTTAAAATAAATTTCTAAATTTTACCACAGCAAAGAGTTAGAACTGATCTGCTGATATTGACATTCTATCTGATATTCTGTCATGATTCACTTTTTTTTTTTTTTTTTTTATATTTTTTGGTTTATTTTTTTTTTTTGGGGGGGGGGGAGGGGTAAATTATTATCTATCAATTAAAAAAATATGATTTTTTAAAAAATGTATTTGATTTCTTATTACTAGTAATTAAAATGGTGTAAATTGACATTTGCTTCAATGGGGACAATCTAACTGCTCATGTTTCTCCCATCATCTTCTTCTTCAATGCGTATTTGTGTCCCTCTATAAGCATGTAGCAAATATTTGACACTTTACACACGGTACAATATGCCAACACTAAATCCCGAGTAATGTGGTTTCATTACACAGGGTTCTCCATGAGCTGTTTTACTGTGTCGGTCCCGACACAGTAAAATATTCTCCGACACAATAACAATTCAAATTTTATGCGTGCAACAAAGTAAAAATTTTTGCGACACAGTAAGATCTGTGATAATCAGAAAATCAGAACATAAATTTCCTCTAACTGAAACTTCAGTCAATATCAAACAAATCTACCGTGTTGCAATTTTTAAGGCAGATGAATTATCTCCTAATTAGGGCACTTTGTCTTGCCTCACCTTGAATAATCAATTATCTCTTAGACCCTCGCTGGACTTTACGCATGAAGGAACAAAGACAAATAATTTGTTTTCACACTTTCATGTAACTGTATAATTGCTAGTTGCATTTAAAAATATTATTTCAAAATTTAAAGATATCTTATAAATATACGTCTTTATACTTCAGAACCACGTCTCTAGAATTATGTTGGCACTGTGAGTCAAACATCGTACCGTAATCGTTTCTTTGATGTAAATGTATTGTTGAGGAATTTAAAGGCACCCTCTAAAAGTATTTTACTATTATATAAGTTTCTTTTTTTAAATTCTGTAATTCGATCAACTGACAAAAATCATGGCAAATTTACTGTAGATCGATCGTATGGACCAGAATTTCCTCTGCTCTTCAGAGCATGTGTAAAACATGAAGTTACACATGTATATACACAAAAATATCAAGGTTTAGTATATACGTTCAGCTTGTAGATAGTGATACAAGTATATTATATAAGTTTATTTTTTTTTAAAAAATTGTACTTATTTTTTTAAGTCGTGTGTGTGCTTTTGCGGTTGGGGGGGGGGGGGGTTACAGTTGGTTTGTCTAATACATGTGGTACATTGTATGTACATTATTATATGAATACATTCGAATTGTTTTAAATATCCATTGAATTAATTCATTTTTTATTAATATGCACGACCATACCATTTGTGTAACGAATAAGTGATTTAAAAAAAATGTATGTATATGCTTTTGTAATTATAATGAATAGTGGTTCAGTTGCGAATTTGATCGCGAAAATGTCGCGAATATTAGTGGTTCAAGTAAAGTCTGCAACACAGTAAGATTTCAGATGATGGAGAACCCTGATTACAATTTCGGCGCCAGCGGGATCAAACGCTGTAAAGATTTTTTAGGGTGAGGGGAAGCAGTTAGAATGTTCAAATTGAAGCAAATATCAATTTACATCATTCTAATTAGTAAGAAATCAAATATATGCAAGACTATTTAAAAATGTATAATACGGTAATATATCAAAATAACATGTCAAAATCAGCCCGTTTTACAAAAGAACTTACGACTAAGACCGAAAACTTAAATTGATTGTAAAATTTTGCAAAATAAATGATTTTGTTTAAAATTGCTAGTGTAAAAATATATTACTACATTCCTTTCAAAATTATTAAAACCATTTTCAATATAACGTTAATTAAAAAAGTTAATAAAATTTTGGACCATTGTTTATTTGCCAATACATCGTCGATGTATCTAAATGTCTAGTTGAAGGCCACAGCAAATGTTTTCTTCACTGATATTGTCAGCAGGTACGCTCTGTCGTTTAATCGAATGTTAGACGATGACTGACGCTTTTCATAAAAATTTGTAGGCCATTATTTTAACACTGAATTGTTTTCGGATATTTCATTTGACCGATCATGACAAGTAGCACACGGCGGGTGTGATCGATCGACAGGGGATATTTACTCCCCCATGGCACCTAATTCCACCTCTGATTGTTTAAAGTGGACCGTGTGTGCTATGCTTCAAATTTGTATTGTTTCAATGAATCGAATCGAAATTGTCGATAAAAAGTTTTTCAAAATATTTATTTTCCTTCTTGCAAGAGAGGTCAATGGTGATGCTTTCTCCACATGCCTTTGAGAAACCATATGAGTATCTCTATCGGAATGAAACTCAGGAGGCAGTGTTCGATTACTCTGATTACCTTAACAGTGTACATAGTCAGCAAGCTGATAAAGCATTAAAATTAAAAGTATGCCACCTCTGTTTCTATTTTATTTTATTAACTTTGTGTTGATGATCCTTGTCTTATGTAAAGTGCAATGAACCTATGTTGATTTCATTTCAGAAATTCCATAAAATAGTTTTTAAAGAATACAGAAATTGACAAAAAATACTGAAAATGAACATGTATTATCATACTGGAATGCCTTATTAATTTGCAGAAATCAAGTTAAAATTATGCTGGATGCATTTTGGATTTGCAAATAAGTATAAATTGAGTGTTTTAATTAATAGGATAAAGTCAAAAGCAGCATTCGGGCAACTTATATGGCGGAGGAATTTTGGAAAGAAAACCAGGACCAATCACAGTTTGTGATATGGCGTTACTTGGCAACTAGGGATGGCCATGTTAGGGTTTATCCAGCGGTTGAAATTCCCAAGAACTATGATCCTTTTACAAGGGATTGGTAAATTCCACACACACACACACACACACACACACACACACATATATATATATATATATATATATATATATATATATATATAACTAATGAAGGAAAAGAATTAGAATTTTAAAATTTTATAATAAAATGCACAATTCAAATGAATTGAAATTCAGAGAATCGTCAATATGAATGATGAATAATGGTCTGTGATGTTATTTAGGTGGAGAAAAACTGTGGCTCAGAAGGGCAAAAATGTTGTGATTTCTCCTTATATAGATAATTGGGGAGCTGGTCTTGTTATATCACAATGCAAAGCAATATTTGAAGGAAGGTAACACATTATGGATAAAGTTCATTTAAAGTATTCAAAGAAATTTTGTTTCTTAAAGTATTACTTCCACTACTCAATCTTTAAGATTGCCTTCACGAACGAAAAGCATTTCGTTTAATTGATCTTTATTACTGAATTGACTCGGAATAACCCTGAACATTACCTTTTAAGAGCTAATGGCCTGCACTGTACAGATGATATCGTAGATGTAGTTGAATGCATCGATTACCCATACCAATATTTCAGCAGCAAGTTTTTCCAGAGCTACCCAGAATGTGGGGATACAACATACAGGTTTGTGTGTAGTGCATAAATCAAAGGAAAGATGCTTTGGTGTTTAACGTTGATGGCTTTCCTGGCTTTACATATTTACTCATGTAATGTACCTTAAACATCTTGTTCTAGGATATACCAGTTTTCAGCCATCAACCAAGACAAAATGTATCAAATTTATAGGCCTCATTGTCTAATATGATAAAAAAAATCGATCTAGGAGCCAAGATTTAAATTTGATTCGACCTAATTAAACAGCTACTTCTCATTGTATGATAGTATGCCAAGATAAAATGCTTTAAAGTAAAGCAAGTCTGCTTCTTGTGTAAATCAAAAGGTCAAGGTCAAGGGGAGATGTGCAATATGTTCTTTTATGGTGAAATACACATGCCAAAAATCATAAGCCCTCAAATGGTAATAATCTGATATAGATAATCTTTTTTCCAAAAAAGGAATATGTGGATTATTACAGAGTATGTAATGGATGTACTACCGCATGATAAAGATCACAATTCTTGATTACAAGTTTAAAAAAAAACAACAACAAAAATCCTAACAGACATTGCAAAATATTTATTTGACTATTAAGTTCAAAGTTCAGCCTCCTGTTGATACATCCTATGCCAAGCATTATATACAAACTGTGGGTTAAAAGGTAAAAAGACGCTTAAAGCTAATAATTTGCCTTTGGTGTGATTGGTTAATGTCGTATATGATTTAAGATTGCAATCACTAATAATAATAATACTGGGTGCATCCAAAGCTTACAAGCCCAAGTTTTTAAAGACGAACGTTATGGCCATGACACTCTTGTTTCAGCAGAACAAGGTCAAGGTTTCACCAAAAGCAAATATTTATTTGTAGAGAGTTTTTATAATGAAAGAATTTGCTATTGTTCTTAATTGTTGTGGCTTGAGAGTTACGCCCCCTGTAAACCAAAGCTATGAAGTTGACAAAGAATGTTTCACTTTACAGTTTTTCAAAGTAATCTCTTACTTGGAAAAATTGTTAAGTGAAACATTTTTGTCACCTTCATTTTCTATGTTGATATTCTTACAAAATAATCAATTAAAAGCACGTTGGAATCTCAAAATTTTTCAAATATTCCTGAGTATGCAGTGGCAAAATGATACTCAAAAAAATTCACATATGTTTAATGTGCAAGATAGCATTCGAACTTCTAATTTGAAAAAGCAGTCAACTTGACACAGTTTGGCAACTATTAAAACTGTTTCTACAAACGAAAGGTTTGCCTTTAGCGTAATCTTGATAATAAAAAAAAGAGCAAGAAGAGTAATAAACATACCAGAATATAACATTAAGCTTTGCTTCCGTTCGTTCAAGGCAAGACATAATTAGGCAGCTCAACAAGTTACTCGTAAAGCGAAAATAAGTCTGCTTCTTTTGATGTTTTTTTCTCCTTAAAATTCGTTGACAATCGTAAGAGCTCTCATCTGAAAATTTCAATGGAGAATTAAATGAATAAGAATCTTTTATTTCGGAGATACATTTAATATACTATACTTTGCTAATCTATTCTTTTACTCAGAGAGTTTTTTTTTTCTCAGAAAGTATTTTTATTTTAAAATAGTATTTTCCCCTCAACTTTGAGTTCATCCTCGACACATTGAATCGTTAAAAAATAAAGAAACTGAAAAGCGGTTTTTCTATTTCACTGTTGCAATTTCAGCTGCATGGTGATAGATAAAAGTGGATTCCTTGTTATATATCCCAGCTTTTCAAACGATGAAGAATTCACAAGGAAACATTTAGGAGCTAAAGTAAGTTATATTACTGTAGTATTATGCAAAGCTTATCTAATAAATATGTATGTAAACAGCTAAATACCAACGTAAAAAGCTTATTTTATAAATATGTATGTAAACACTCTAAATACTTAATGATGAATATGAAATGTTTATATTTCGCTGATTAATTTTTACATAGACCAAGTACTTATAGTTCTTTTTTCTATAAAGGAGAAAAATATAATGGAGGATCTCCTTAAGGACAGAATTATTGTGAAAGAAAGCTGTTTGAATATAGAACACCAAAAGGAGTTGTTTTCTTTTCGGGCAAGTATATGCAAATTCACGTATAGTTCAAATGCAATATTATTGTTAGCAATGAATGCAGAAGTTATAACCTGTTACCTTTATATTTAAGTCAGTTTTGTTTATTTGTTCAGGTATCATTGTCGGATACAGATGACCCAGTAAACAAACTGTCATCAAAGGGGTATATGATAGCCCCTGTACTGAACAGCAATGTGTTTATCGTCATTAAGAAGACAAGCATCCTCTCTGGAACTTGTTGTCTGGTCTGTACAAAGACTGAACTTTCACATTTCAGGAAAGATAAAAAAAGACACCGAATATCAGAGTATAAGATGGGAAAAAATATAACAAATTGAAATTATTTCCAATTATGTAAAATGTTGTTCCTCAAGTTTATAAAACTTGTTTAAGGTTAATTGAAATAGCAGTATAGTAAACTTTCAGTAATTTTTCATTTCTTGAACATGGCATTCAAACATCGTATGAACATTCTATGTCCTACAGTATTTTGTTTGTTTGTTTGTTGTTCAACGTCCCTTCGAGAATTTTCCATTCATATTGAGACGCCATCACCTGCCGGTGGAGGGCTGCAAATTTAGACCTCTAGCACTTTAGGCCTTTAAGCAGTGAGGGATCTTTTTCGTGCCAGCACCTACTGTGACACGGGACTTCGGTTTATAGTCTCATCCGAAGGACCGGTCTCCACGTCCCGCAGTGGAATTCGAACCCTCGACGTAAGGATCAACTTCTTACTCCGCGACTCTAGAACAAACGCTCTAACCACTGCGCCACGCGGGCGATCACTATAGTATTGATCTATACTATAATAATATATATAGGTAAAAATGATTTGTGTATGTTCCTATGACTTCTCACAGCTCACATTTGTTTGTCATTTATGTTCATAATATTAATAGGAACTGAAAAGGATCTAAGGATATTGTTTTATTTATTAGAATTCAGAAAAATCGCCTCTAGTACATACCTGTAGTACCAGTGAATCAGACTGTTGTCTGTGTCATAAGGTTGTTCCTTATGATACCTGCGAAGAAAAGACTTCAGGGTAAGCATTACTGTTTCTCAGCGGAAGTTGAAGCTACCAAAAAGTTACAATAATTTGAAAAAGTGTAAGTTTTATTTATTTATTTTTTAAAAATTAAACTTCTTTATAATAGGGATACCTACCATATCTGTAGTGCCAGAGTACCAGATTCAAACGTCAAAGTTGAGAAAGAATTAGATAGGATAAAAGAGCTGGAACCGTGCTTCGATGTTCATTGTAACACCCGAAATGAATCGTACGTATTTAAATGTATTTTAATACCCGTAATGGGTTCCTCAATAGAGGAAGACTTAAACAGACATATTAAAGGAAAAATTAATAAATCTTCAATGCTAGCTTGAACGAAGTAGCTTGACCATCGGTACAAATAATTGAAGCCTGTTCAGATAGGGTCGAGCAACAATAGAGGATGACATATTGATATTGCACACATAGAAGAAAGAACATAGGCGAATAAGCAGAGGAAGTTGCCTTTAATCAAAAAACAAGGAAGTGAAAAATGAAGTCTCAATCATAACAAAATTGTCTTTGATGTTCCAATTGACATAAATGTAAACTTCATGTAAAATTTCCATAATTTTGTACATTTTCATAAGTATTTAATTATTTTTCTATGAAATAGCATGTAAATGGTCTACTATACCCCTTTCTTTACTCCTCACCAAAATATGAACAGCAGTCAAGGAGAAACTTCAGGCGTGCGAACAACAACATATTCCAGAGGTGGTTTTAATCAGATGTGGGTACTTAAAAACTCCAAAGAAATTTTAAAAAATCTAAATCACAAAATATCACCAAAATCAATAACATCACAACTAACGACTTTTCCAACATTTTATACAACCATTCCCCACGATAAATTAAAGTCCAGGCTCTTTGACATAATAGACAACTTCAAATATAAACAGCAAGAACATTTTTAATTACTTGTAATTTAATTAATTACAATGAAAAAAGTACCATGTAATTAAATTAGTACTTTACATAACACTAATTTATGATATGGCTCTTTCACATCCTTATTTTGTATCATAAAACATTCTCAATCCTTCAGTTATACAAGTTAATATTTACAAGCAAATAACTAGCTTTACAATAATAATCTAGTTTGTTTATAATCATAATGTAAATTTAGATCAATAGAGTAATATTAAAGAATAGGAATGTGTCTATGTTGGTGATATCCTTAAAAACAGAATGTTTGGTTGTGATGTATTAACAAAAGTTCATTACTGTTCAAAAACCTATTTTTCAATATAGAAATTGTAAAGAGGTGGCAGGATGCAGCTGGTGTATTGAGGACGAGAACGGCAATAACCTTCAGCCATCCGAAACGTGCTGCAATGTCTTTGAAACTTGCCCATTTGGAAAAGTTCAATCTCAGAAACGTAAGGAACCGTCATAGATTTGTCAGGAATATTTTTTATGATTCTCACTGTTGTTATTCATAAATCTACATAATCATATAATTTGAAGATCAAACTTTCCTATACATCTACTAGTATTACAGTTTACTCCTGCAGATTGAAATGAGTGATTTTTTTAAAAAGGGAAATTAAAACTTTATAAATCAGGCCCGTAGAACAGGGGTGGGACACTTTTTCTAAGAATAGTCTTTTTGGAGTAGTTTTAATATGCAAATTTTTATTTTAATGCTGGTTGCCCCCCCCCCCCCACTTTTTGTTGCTGTAGGGTGAAACAAACAAATTCCAGTATTTGAAAAAACAAAAAATACCGAAAATTTAGAGAAAGGTCCCCCTACCCCAACCCCGCCCTCCACGAAATAGGATTTTAGAGTTTGGACTTTTTAAAAATGTGTAAGTGTAAAAAGTAATTGCCTCACTGGAATTCATTTTTTTTTTGGTGCTCAGAATGATATACGTGTACACTTGGACATACCGCTAGGTTTTCAAAATTTAGAATAATATTATCATGCTGCAGTGAAATTTTTTTTATAAAATAGTTTAAAACATAAAAAAATATACACATGGATTTATTTTTTAAATATAAATGTAATTTCATTGGAGGATTGGAGTTTATAGAAAAAAATGTACAAGGATTCATATTCATCATATTAATTTACTGAGTCTTACACAATGAAAAAAAATGCATTTTACCTAAAATTGTTTGAAGTGAAGCAAGCGTGGGACAGACATTAAAGGGTATATGAAAATATAAATGAATGTGGAGATAACAAACAGTATTCGAGCTCAAATGTCCATCAAACATTACAAAATAGGAGCAGAGCAAATACGAGACCTCCAAAAACACCAGAGGTGGGATCAGGTGCCATGGAGTGAGCATCCCCTGCAGACCGGTCACACCCGCCGTGTGCTCCTTGTCATGATCGGACAAACGGAAAAATCCGTCGACAATTCCAACATTTTATATGATAGGATATTGTAAAAGTAATGTTTTTCTTTCAGTGAATGAATGTTATTTATCAACAAGTTCAAGTAATACCTTCTCTATCACCCCCATCTGAAGCCTATTCTTCAGTCAACACAGCGGCTATAGTTACTGGGTTTTCGTTGTAGCTTTTTCCATAGCTGCATTTTTGTAGTTCTTGTTTTTCAATATTATCAACCTAGAAAAAACGAGGAAACTGCAGCTGATGTATATGATATAAATGTGCCTATGGGTACATAACTGCAATTTCTTGTCAACAGGATATCGCCCAAGAAAATCTGAGTGAAATGTGATATGATTACAAATTGCATCATTTTTCTGAAAATTTCATTGTCCCGATCGAAAGCTTTGTTTTTAGAAATTATGGTTACCTCAGAGGTTGTCCTTTCCTGGTTGTCTTGATATCCTTATCTCTGAAATTTGTTATTTTTTCAGAAACACACTGCTCCGCAGCTTTGAATGCGAAACATTTCGGCTCGACAGATTCAAAAGAAGTAGGGACTGTTACAGGAAGCGTAATAGGAGTGCTGTTATTGATTGTTATACTATCAGTAATAATTGTTATTGTCTATCGAAAACGAAGAAATGACAAGGAAGATCCATATTATCTGGATCCAACCCTCGACCCCTGTCAAAATAATCCTGCGTTTTCTAACGTAGCTTAGTTGATCATAACGAAGACGATGGGTCGTGCGCAACTAACCATTACAAAGACATTCATTCTGTTGAGAAGGAAACTTGTCGGGCACCAGTGAGTGTCAACAGTTTGAACAACGAGGTGTGATTTGTACATGTAAATGTGCACACTGATTTTTTTTCTTATAAATACACATTATGTAAATATCTTTTACTTACCCATAATATGAATACTTAATTTAATATAGAAAATCCCATTAGATGTTATGTTAGATTACTAAATAATTTTGGCATTCATAAAAAAAAGTTCTATAACACCATTTAATTCTCACAATATTGCTTTATCTTGATTGCTGGTTAACTTCGTCTAAAGTGAATGTTATATAGTTACCAGAACTGAATATTTTTTTCAATCAGCTGACGTTTGACGTTTAAAAAATATATATTTTAAGATGTGGATTGAACTCTAGAAGACAAAAATGCCTATAAATTTTATTTATTTATTTTATTTTTTTTTTTTTTATTGTTTATTAATCTATTTTTTTTTTTTCATTAAGACAATGGTCAGAGCAACTTTTCAGTGTTGAAGTCTTTTAAATTGCGGGAGACTTTAATAGGTTGTGGACACTGGAGTTAGGTTTCAGGATAATGTATTTATCGTATTTGTCTGTCTGAATACGATGACGAAGATTAAAACCGAAAAGTTCCTGACAGATTTTAAAACATCATATTCGTATTTCTAGGAACTTTCAAAAAGTGATCAGCTTATTCAAGCATAATGAAGAACATCCAATACACCTCATACATGCATTTATATCCATCATCATGACACTGAGTCCCTATGGTTTTGGCCGTTTGAGGATAATTAAAATATACATCTTCCAGATCATTAACTTTAAAAGGAGGAAATGGGGGGGGGGTGTTTAAATATTTTACTATTTTGAAAGTACATGTACATTAATTTTGTATGTTTATTTGTTTTTCAAAGAGGGGTGTGTAAGTATATCCCAACGTCTTGAAAGAACATTTGCAATTTGATAATCATCCCCCTTCAAAGTTTCACCGTTCATGTACCCACTGTTGTTTATTGTAACGGATTTGTAACAAATAATTATGCAGTTTGGTATTTATCATACAACTTCATATGCTGTTAGATTAACTACAACATAATATATAGTCTTAATAATTATAAGGTGAAGTATACAAATCATTATCCTTGTAAAATAAATGTACGTTATTTAAGTATATATTTTAATGACTGTTTTTAAATAATCAATTACCGAGTTTGTAAATTATATGCATGTTTACTTTGGTCTGTGAATACTCAACATTTTGTTATTTAGCTCAAGTTAGGCTCAGCCAGATTTTGATTGGACTTTCTCTGTCGTCCGCGCTGTATATTTTCAAGCTTTTCTGTAGAATCTCTTTACAGCAATCCACCAAATTTGACCAAAGAAATAAAACAGTAAGAAAGAAAAAATAGAGAAAAACTCAATATTTCATGTAAAGGTACGTAAGCGTCTTCTATGTTATGGAAAATAATTTTAAAAGAATATCTTGGAGAAGTTGTTTTAAACAAATTTGTGGATTATCTTCAGGTAAGAAATGACATAAAAGGATTCCTGTAAACGCATTCCCGGGCTCCATAGATACACATTTGTTTAAATTATGATCTCCGACGCCACAATAAGGACTCAACTTTCACATTGAATATAAGATAGAGACAGTTGTAATCATCATTGGTATTAAAAACAAGAAAGTACTAGGTTAAAACTTATCGTAGGAGGCAATAGAAAAAAATGTTCAAAGTACATTTCCTCGAAAAGAGGAGGAAAAATACGTACAATTTGAGAGCATCGTCATGACATAGGATGTAGGTAAGACAATGTCACAACATAGTCGACATCATGAGAAATCAATAAAAAAGATGGTTCCAATAGAACTTAATCATTTTATTCAGGGATAAACGAGGGGGGGGGGGGCAATTTTTATTATGGTTGGTGGTGACAAGGCCTTATGCTTGGAAGGTCGATAGCTGGAGTCAGACAGGAAACATTAAATTTGGTATTCATAGATACTTTTATTATATATGCTGTGCATTACTGAGAGAAAGGATGTTTGAAGACGGTTTTAAATCCTGGATCATATTAAATGTAAGAGCATTTGTTGGTGATATAATAAATAACAATATTATCTAATCATAGGCGGTATATTATATACCAGTAGTATAGATTTATCTCATTCCAATAATGCTTGCTGTTGAGTCAGAATAGTTGTCAAGTGTATGTGCAACGAAACTCAGGTTAGCAATGTATGCATAGCCCATGTACCTCTTCTAGAATGCATATACGGAATCTATATGCGTTGTATGTGTTAATTTTAAAAACGTTTGTATTTGTTACCAGTGAATTAGTCTATTACAATAAATTCATTTCCATTAAGTTTTGCTCTTTAAGTGCAGTTATTAGTCCCCTACCAGTGAAACCGGAGGGGACTAGAGGTTTTCTCCCCGTATGTCCGTCTCTCTGTCAGTCTGTCCCACTTAGTTTTCCTGAATGCTTGTAGATATTGAGCTGATATTTGGCATGTGATTGTACTTTGATGAGTTACAGATCAGGTTTGATTTTCTTTCCGCTTCGATGATTTTGACGGAGTTACCACCTTCTTAACGAACTACGAACGCAAACTCTAGATTCCTGCCTACATTTAAAACCCATTGAATTCAATTATAAATGGCAAATTGGCCATTAAAACTTATTGGATGCAAAGAAAAGTTCATTAATTATTAATTGATTAATAAATTTCAAAACTATGTCAAGAAGTTAATTGCTCTTATTTACAAGTCTTTTGATAAGGATGGGGGGGGGGGGGGGGGGTTATCCATTGAAATCAGGCTTTTTAACATAACCAGATTTTCAAATACTTTTGAGAATGGCTAAATGACCACTGAATATTTCCGTATGTTTAACTTATGTAAAATTCTACATATATGATTGATAAAGTACATTTTTGATTTGTAATCTCATGTGAATATTGGTATAAGAATTACCACTTTTGCTGTTTTTTGTTTGTAAACATATATGCCCCCCCCCCCTTTCCGGGAAACAACAAAAGCTTTGGTATGAATTTGTGAAATAACAATTTATAATATTTGTAAAAGGGAATTTTTGTTTCACCCGGGGGGGGGGGGATATTTAAAAATAATTTACGTTTTCTGTTGATTTCTATATTGAAAAACACAAGTTTTACCAAAATTATAAATAATAGGAATATTATTATAATTCCTATTATAATTATAAATAGGAAAATTCTCTCGTTGTTCTCCCAAATAAGTTATATTTAATGATATCTACATAAATATGAAAAATCATTCCAATATGTCAGCTTTTGAAAATTGACTTGGAGGTACATGTAGGCGGCAGAACAATACTATCGTTCGCAGTTCTTTTAAGGGGAACCAGAATTTCCAGACTTTTTCCCTAAACTCTTGCAGATATTGAGCTGATTATGGCCTTTTTGATTTTTAAGGGGAACCAGAATACACTTGCCGGTGTAACAACAAAAAGTGACCCCCGTAGAATATCGACTGAGAATCATTTTTCTACATAGAAATTTGACCCCCTGGTCAATATTCTAAGTAGAAAAATGACCCACTTTTTTGTAGAAATTACGGTCTTGGCGTCATTTTTCTCCATGTAGATTGTAGAAAAATGACCCTGTGTCATTTTTTGTACCGAAAACTTCATGGTTTTGGTCTTGTAGGCAAATAAATACGGGTTAAATCACGCATTCTTATGATATGAAGTGTTCATTTCTAAAAGCTTTAAAGTTTAAATGAAAAATTAAAAGGTTATACTATACTTACATGTAACATTAATAATACAAGATGTTTTATCCCCATTAAAGGAAAACCCAACAAGGCTATAATGCTGTTCTATGACTATTAGAGCAAGAATACGCACATTCTTTGATTTTTTTTTTTTTATTACATTTAATAAAATAAGTTTCCACAGTTGTAAATATTTTTAAAAAATCAAGAATTTTCTCAGGTGGGGTAAGAAAAAGAAACATATATATATATATATATATATATATATATATATGTATAGCTTCCATAATTGTAATCCTCTTTGATTTTCCTCTGGGAAAATAATGTGCAACAAATAAAACTACAGTCTTCTTTTTTTCTTCTTCATAAGTTATATGAAAGGTTAACTTTTTGGAACCCTACCCAAATAAATTTACGTGAAGAAAAATGGAAGATTGATAAGAAAATTCAATCTCGTAAATATCTTTGATTTTCTATGAATAAAGTCTCAAATTTCTTCTCATAAAAATATAGGGAAGTGAAGATTAAATTTGTGAAAAAAAAAATAACACACAGAACTAACTTAAAATCAGTATACCTCTGACCTTGGATACAAGGGGCACAAAAAAGTGATTAGCTCAAAATCTTTACAAATGTCTTTTTGTCGTTTGCTAGTGTCAACAAAGTCTTTAACAAAATAAGGGTTTTACATCAAAAAAATTGATTGATTTAAAAAAAAAAAATAGGTGCTTGGTATACCAAGAATTGGCATAAGTCTAGTATACACGGGGGTATCGTCTTTTCCATTTCTAGTTACATGTAATAAAAATTGACCAATAGAATGTTAGAATCAAGTACCATGCGAGATTCGTATAAGCGTATCTATAGAGGTGAGTTTTGAGGGGAGGGGGTTACCGGGTTATAAACCACTCTTTAAATTTGCTAGCCTATAGGAAAGAATTCCCCTCTGGCCATGTAATTAAGCGTTCTTGCTGTCTGATATAAGGTTTGAAAATATTAAAGGGTTTTTAAGATAAGAGTGAAAAGAAATTTTTTTTCCTTTCACCAAAAAATCCTCTTATAAGGATTCTATTTATTTTTATTATCTTAAATTATTCCTTCAGACTAAGAATTGAATGCTTGTTTCAAATGTTTTACGATTTACAAATTTATCTCTATAATGTTACATGGCTTGAGGAGGGTGCTATGCGCGACAGAGGCAACCTTGTAACAGTTTTAAGCACACATTTTGCATGACTCTTTGTATTGAATGGCTGTACTGATTGTAATTTTCACAGAAGCTTGGCTAAGGCGTGTTAAAAGGTGAACATTTACTCAAATTACACTGATGGCCCAACGGTAAATCATTTAACACTATCCATTCAAAAATCGATGGTTAGTGGAGTAGAACCATGCAACAAATAAAGGCTGCATGTAGGTTTATTAACAGAACGCATTTGAATAAAGCACTAAACGAACAATTATATGCAATGAAAAAATATGACATATTCGGTAATGCGTAGAACAACGATGATGAAAATGCATTTTGGTTACAGCGACACGATGTCTGAACAGGACAAAAATTATAAAAATATAAAATTTTAGTAAACTGAATGCATACAAGGGAAAGGGATAGTGTATGTCAAACCCTAATTACATACTTGGTCAAATAAAGAATATTTTATACACCTCCTCTCAGCATGTGGATAATTTAGGGCATCAACCGCACATCTACTTTTCATAACGATACAACTAATAATATCCTGCTACTGGGATTTAAAGCTGACATATCATCATCTCCCTTACATGTTAGTAAACATATAAGTATTGTTCTTCAAGTACAATGTATATAAATTCCTCTTCATTAAATACGCAAACAAACATCGCAATTATCTCATTGTGAACTGGGAAGCAGTATTTTCTGTTATGTGAAGTTATCGCCCTTATAATTTTAAATTGAATTCATTTTTTGCATCAATAAACAATTCTGCTAAATCCATTTTAAAGTAAAAAGGTCAAGAATAAACATTTTATAATTTCTTTTAAAATAACTATAAGCATTTTCTCTTTTTTGAAGATAATTATTTTCCCCAATATTTTT